GTCCGCTAAGACAGTTGTGCCCACGGCCAGTCCTCAGCGCTCATCTCTGTCCTACGGGTGGCGTGAGATGTTAACATCTGGGGACTGTCTCTACTGTCTTCGAGACTAAAATTATTCTGAAAACTTTTTATTTTTAATGAATAAAGGTAACATGGCCGGGAACAGTGGCTCACGCCTGTGATCCCAGCACTCTGGGAGGCCGAGATGGGAGGATCGCTTGAGCTCAGGAGTTCGAGACCAGCCTGAACAAGAGCGAGACCCCGTCTCTACTAAAAATAGAAAAATTAGCCAGGCGTGGTGGCGCCTGTAGTCCGAGCTACTCGGGAGGCTGAGGCAGGAGGATCGCTTGAGCCCAGGAGTTGGAGGCTATAGTGAGCTGTGATGACGCCTCTGCACTCCAGCCTAGATGACAGAGTGAGACCCTGTCTCAATAAATAAATAATGAAAGAAAGAAAGGTAACATGTAAAAAAACAACAAACGGGGCCTCGTGCAGGTATCCACCGATCACCCAGAATCTGTTGTCCTCTGTGTTCATTTCAGAGCCACGTGTGTGAACATAAGTGGCTGGGGACAGCCTGCAGGGCAAGGCACAAGCTGGCATCCATGCGATGTGCTTGTGCCAACGCAGAAGCAGCAAGTCGATGCCTCAGATGTGGACGGGCTCACAGGCCTCAGGTAGTTCGTCCAGCCCTCCCGGTCAGCCCAGCAGGTGGTGGGTGGGGTCCGGCATGAGTTTACCCATTTTACAGATGAGGAAACTGGGGCTTGGAGAAGCCATCTCCTCTCCCTCTTAGATGCGCGGGACACACACAGAGTAATTCCGAGATCCTCCCATAGGCTGGGTGGCTTCTCTGTTATGAGACCAGCCCTGCCCTCCAGGTGGGGCAGGTGAGGCTAGAGGGCTGGGGGAGGAGGGGCGCCAAGAGCCCTAGACCCTGCCCTGGGGTGGGAAGGAGGGAGGCATCCACGCCCGGGGTCAGGTCCTGCCTCCCCAAGCACCAGGCACAGCGTCCTGCGACAGCCTCGCACAGAATCACACGCCCTCGCTCCCACGCAGCCACCAGCCTCCCTGCCGTGTGTCTGTCCTTCCTTGGCCTTCGTGGGAAAGAGCAGAAACCCAGATCCACGCACTCAGGCGCTGCTGCGGCAGCTTCCCAACTTCTCCGGCGTCAGCGCGACTGCTGCGGCAGGACCGTCAGAGAAATACCCGCCTCTGCCGGCTCGTTCTGCCTCCAAAGCCCTTCACCAGTGGCTGTGACAACGGGATTCGCATTCTGACGCCCAGGCTTTCCAGAAAGCCCGCGCACAGCGGCCTTGATGAAAGGCCACACCAACCTCATTTCCCCAAGAGCTCTCTGAGCTCCGTGTTTTACACCCTAAACATTCGGATTCCTCAAAGAGGACTTTGGACAATTGTCACACAAGTGCCCATTAAGGACAGGACTCCAGGTGCGCTGCACGGTCCGCTGGCTCAGATCCACACGCTGTCCTCAGAGGAGCGCAAACATGTCCACTGTCTTTGGCGGGGACAAGAGGGGTCGTTCGAAGCAGGAAGGGAGAGTTCACACGCACGACCTCACACGGCCATCCCCGAATCACGCACAGTCTCACAGTGCAGCCGCACACACGCTGCGACACAACCACACGCACCTTGCACACGACAGACACACAACCGTACACAACCCCACACACGCAATCACACGCTCGTATCCACAATCACAACTACGTACAATCGCACACAACCACATACAGAGTGTGCAATCGCACACACAAGCACAATGACGCCGTCATACACAGCCACGCGCGGCCACACACAGCCCGCCCGGTGTGCGGCACCAGCAAGACAGATCTGCGGGGAGGCGGCCACCTCACACCACCTCCCTGGGCCCCCACGGGCCTCAAGATGTCGGAGCCTCAAGGCAGCTGCTCACGGGGGCGGGGATGGCAGCTTGGTCTCCACGGGAGCTGGGGTCCCCAGCCAGCAGAGGACCCTCAGGACGCACCACTGAGGAGGCGCTGACAACCCGCAGAGCCCTGCCTGGCTTTCCTGCCGCTGTTAATCCAAGTCATGAGAGCCCCCCAGCAGGTGCCACCTCAGCCCCAGTGTCAGGCCCTCTGACCTCACCCTCTTCAAATTGTCGCCCCCCCCCAAAAAAGTCCTCAACTTGTGTTTACTCACAAGCAACGCGGAGGGCAAGACCTCCCGGCAGGAGGGACACGCTGGGGAGGGAGGGGAGGGTTCTTGGGGGTGCTCCCTCCTGGGTCCTACCGAGTCTCCTCCCCCCGATTCCTGCCGCGCCGCCCCCAGGAGGCTCCAGGCTGAGCTCTGGACTTGCTTTTAGCCAAGTGCACAGGTAGAAAAGAGTGGAAGGGTGTGGATGGGCAGGGGAACCCCTCTGGGTGCTCCAGCCGCGTCCACATATGCTGGCTGCGTCCACACAACCTGGCAGCATGTCTATACAGCCCCGGCCCCGGGTCTCCGAGAACTGAAGCGCAGGGCATGGGGCGCCCCCGACTCACCTGGCTCCCGGCAGGCAAGGAAGCTGCACCGCGGATCCTGCCGGAACGACCGGGAGCCACAACCGCGCGGGGGCGGGGAGGGGAGGGGCGTGGCGGGGGCGCTCTCCCCTCCCCCTTCCTTCCCCTTCTCCTCCCCTTCTCCCTATGCCCTGCCTCACCGCACCCAGCTGAGCCCCTGCCTTGCCCTGGCCCCACCAGGGTCCCCTACCCCTGACCCCGATCCGACCCCCACCCCCTACCCCATGGGAGGGGCCCAGGGCGGGGATGGGCGGGGCTGGAGCCTGGGGGAGGAGCTGGCTGGTCTACAGGAGTCCTCATGTCTCTGGAAGACCCACTTTCCTCCATGGAAAGGAGGGATCCGTGGGAGTCGAGTGGCTCTCGGAGTCCCCGACACAGTGATGGTGCAGGACACACACAAACCCATGCATCTGCTGCCCACATTCCTACTGACCCAGGCCCTTGCCAGCGAGGCCAAGACCGCACCTTGCCCCACAGCTGCTTGCTAAGAAGGTGTTTACGTTTCTTATTTTTTTTAGCGACGGGGTCTCGCTATATTGCCCAGGCTGGTCTCCAACTCCCAACTCCCAGGCACAAGTGATCCTCCCGCCTCGGCGTCCCAAGTGCTGGGACTATGTGTGCGCCAGAAGGGCCTTAACATTTCTAAAGTGTTGAAAAATATCGAAAGACGACTATTTTGAGACATGCGAAAATGCTATAAAATTCCAATTTGGGTATCCACCGATACGCGTATGGTGGCCACAGCCACGCCCACTTTCACACGTGGTCTGTGATGCTTTCCAGCGACAAGGGCAGAACTGAGAAGCATGATGGGGACTGCGTGGTCCGTGAAGCCTGAAGCCCGGGGACAAGTAGCCTGATCTGCCCATGGTGGGGACCAGCCCCCTGCGGCAAAGCTGAGAACCCCCCACACCCCGGCTGCTGCGTCCACACCGCATGCCCCACGCCACGGAGGAAGGAGAGGCCGAGCCAAGGGTACCAAAAGCTGTGTTTAATTATGAGACTCAAACGGAAGCCAGGCAACACGTACAACGGAAACTCGAAGAAGAAAACTGCCTCCGATTCCTCGACATTGGCCACACAACCGACATTAGAGAGAAAAACCTCCACTCTCAGCCCCACGTACGAAATGGCTTAAATTAAGGCGCAGTCCGACGGGCACGGGCAGGTCACCAGGCCCCCAGGCCGTCCTCGCAGCGGCCATGGGGGGAGGTCCACGCGCGCCTGTTCCAGTTCGCCCAGTGCTTTTTAAGAAACACAGAAAAGAGACGTTAACCTTTTGCTTTTTTTGAGGAAAAACCCATCATTTTTCCCTGGAAAGATGGGACTGAAGTCTCTGGTGCTGGTATTTTCCTGCATGGATCCCGGCTTGCCCGGGATGCCTCCGTCTGGAACGGCGGGACCGCGGCGCCGGGCTGTCCCGCGTCGGTGGGGTCCCTGCCGTCGTTTTACATAGACAGAAACCCCCTCTGGACTCCGGTCTGGAGGCTTCGTGGGCAGGGAGGGCGGCACGAGGGCGCTGGGGTCCTGGCGCCTGCGCAGGGGGCTGCGGGGATGCTGCTCCGCAAGTGACCACACGTGGCGACAGGGAAGGGCGCCGGGGCCTGGTGGCCGGCTGTGCCTCGGTTGGTCCCACCACGGGCACCTGTGCCGTGGGCGCCAGAGAACCCCGTCGGTGAGGTAGAAGACCCAGCGCCAGCTCCAGGATGTGCCGGCACATTCTGGGGACCCCTGCTGTTGAGATGAAAAGCTGCTGGCTGCCTGCTTGCTGCAGGGGCTGGGCGGGCGGGTGCCAGCACGGGAGGGTGGGGAAGCTGCTTGCAGAGGCCGGGACGCGGGGACAACCAGAGCGAAACGAAGGCGTGGAAGACAAAGTTGAGTGCCGTGCGCGGCCAGGCCCCTCCCCGGCTCCAGGGAGCCCACGGCCGCCCATCAGAAGGGCAGCCTGAGACTCACACCCCGCGCGGCGACGCTACCGGAGCCAGAAGTCGTGACTATTAAAACCGGGAGAAGCGCGCGCAGCGCCTCTGGGATGGGAAGGAGCAGCCTGTCCACTTCCTGAGGCCCGTCGGCGACCCCCAAGCCTCACTGGCCGTCCCAGCCCCGAGTCTGCAATCCAGCGGCGGGAACCTCGGGTCTCAGGCCTGCGCCAGTGGGTGTGAGAGGGAATCTGCGCGGGCCGTGGCCAGAGGGAAAGTGGCGCCTTTGGGCGCAGAAGCAGCTCCTCCCCCACCAAGAGCAGGGCGTCGTGGGAGCAGCGCCCCGGGAAGCGGCAGGGAAGCACCAGATGTGGACGCGCCTGTGGCCTGCCTGGCCGGCCGTCGGCCACCACAGAGGGACGGGGAAGGCGGGGCGAGTGAGACCCCACTGCCCGGGGCTTGCAGCAGCCATGTTAGCGGGGTGTAGGGCGTGAGGGGCTGGCGAGGACCTCACGAGGCTGTGAGCACCATGGGGCGGGGCGGGGCGGCCGAGCGGGTGCAGTCCGCGGGCATCTCGCGCCTGTCCTCGTCCTGCGGGCGCAGTGGGCGAGTCCTGCTCCCTCTCCCCTAGGCCAAGGCGCGGGGCCGGGCCTCTGGGTCAGGCAGGGCCAGGTCCCGGCCCGCGGGTTCAGGGGTGCTGCCGGCCGGGCTCCCGGGCTCCTGGGCGGGGGCTGTGGCCCCCGTCTCCTCGGACGAGGCCGGTTCCCGGGGCTGCTCGATGGCCGGTGGGGGAGACTTGGCCGGTTCTTCTCCAGGAGGCTGCGGGGATGGGGACAGGGGCGCGTCCGAGTCCTTGGGAGGCTGCGGGCTGTCGGCAGGGGCTGGGGCCCAGGGAGGCTGAGGTAGGTCTTTCTGCAAGAGAAGGGACGCCGGTGAGGGAGCAGCAGGACACCCGACAGCCACAGCCCCTGATGGGGCAGAACGAGCCACTGTCCCCAAAGGGCCTGGACCCAGGCTCGGGGCAAGCAGCAAGGCGCCCCAGGGAGAGAGGCGGCGCCCTGGCCACGGCGCTAAGGAGGGAAGTCTGAGGTCTCCCGAGGCCGGGAGCCGACATGGCCCCGTGGCCGTGAAGAAAGCTCAGACTCCAACGCCCCTCAGTGCTCAGGGGCCTGGCCTGCCCCTCCTCCCTCTGGTCCCCCAGCTTCTCCCAAACCTTCTAGAACTGACCCCTCACTCTTGTGGCCCAGGCAACACCCACCGGAAAGGAGACCCTGGCCTCGGTGGCCAGTGAGGGCCAGAGGCCCAACTCCAGCGCCTGCCAGCTCCAGCGTGACACCGGGGTCTCTGCCCGCCCCACGCTCTCCCACCCACACGGGAGGGACTGGCTTCGCCCCCGCGTGACCAGCACCGCTGAGAATGAGGCGTTTCCCACGGAGGGAACTTCATTCACGGGACCATTTGTCCAGAAGCCAGAGGGTCCGAGCAGGCCCCTGGTCCTGCCGCAGCTGTTCCCAGTGTCCAGGGGCAGCTGGGCGTTGGGGGGGGGGTGTGCCATCGTCCCTGTTAGGTTAATGCTCTCTCAGGTAGGAAGGGGCCCACCCTTTCCCTCCTGGGTTTTAAAAACCAAAAGCCACACACGGCCCTGAGCCCCTCCCTGCGGCGGTGCATTTCACTCCCAGACACCCCGGCACAGAAACACAGTTCCCACACGTGAAGGCCAGGCCAGGGCCACCCTCCAAACTCAAGGTGCTGCATTCACAATGGCAGGCACAGAGGGGCCTCGAGTCCACGCAGGAGGGCGTCACTGTGCTCGGGGAGCAGCCTTAGGTGAGCAAACCCACACCCGACAGGCCGCGTGCACCCTCGGGTCACCCCCAGCGCGGGAGCCACGTGCAGTCGGCGCCCAAAGCAAAACCTTCCAGGCATGGGGGCCCCGACCCTGGAACCCGCCAGGTGCGGGGCTTAGTTAAATACTAGGAGATCTTACTCAACTTTAACCCTAGTTAGGGCTTATTAGTTATTATTTCTCGCAGTCATAGCAAACTGGTATTCACCGCAAAGCCGCTGCCCGTCCAGAACACGCCCAGCTCCCGGCGCCACAGCGCCACGGCGAAGCTTGTCACCAGTGTGCAGGGCACCAGGTAGAGCAGGGCGGGCTGGCCACGCTGCATGAGGGCCAGGGCCATGAACGTCACCAGGAGGCCGATGCCGTAGGCTGGAGGGAGAGAGGGGTGTCACCTCGGCCGGTGGGGCCACAGGAATGCCCTGAGCTGGCGGGGAGGAACCAACCGCGGAGGATGGAGGAGACTAGGGGTGGGAGAGGCAGGTGGTGGGGTCACACATGTCCCCAGGCACACAGATCCTTCCGGCACCTCCAGGGACACATGCCTACCCCACCCCCGCCTCAGCGGGTGAGAGGGGTCGGGGGTCAGGGAGGTGAAAAAAGGGACGAAGAGAGGGCATGGTGTGAGGAAGGGGACAGGGAGGAGGTGGCTCTGGGGCAGCAGCCGCAGTGGCAGGAAGAGTCTGGATCTCAGAAGAGGCCAGGGAAGGAGCCAGGAGCTGGGCCAAGGAGCTGGGTTTATGCATCTTTGGTCAGAAAAACAGTATCACGGAAACACAGCTACGTAGCTAGAAAACCCAACCTCTGGCCACAGAAAAGGATGCCCCTGTTCTTGGTCACGGAAAAGGAAAGACCCAGGGAAGCATTTAGGGGAACAGGGGCGTGGTGCCCGCAAGCTGCTCTCACAGGCCAGAAGGATGCTGCGACTTGTGTGTGTGCACAAGGCCACACACGTGCGCACGACCGGCGTCCCCGGACCCCTCGGGTACCGAACTCCACAGATGCCCAAGTCCCTGACACGAGTGGCACAGGGTTTGCACGTAACCTGCGCACATCCTCCCGTGTGCTGTGGTCACCGCTGGGTTTCCCGTAAGAGCTAAAGCGATGCCAGCGCTGTGTGAACAGCTGCTACACTGACCAGGGCGTGATGACGAGAAAACAGATCTGTCCGTGCTCACATGGGGACATTCGGACCCCAATTTTTTTCCTGCGTATTTTGATCCACGTTTGGTTGACTTGTGGATGCAGAGGGCGGACTGTACACAAGTCCCCACGAAGTTGGTGAGACTCTACTACGTGAAATGTGAAGAAATGTTAACAGTCAATACATCTGAGAGCGAGACATATGGAGATTCTTTGTACTAACCTTGCATCAATTTGAAATTATTTCAAAATTTTAAGTGACAAGAAAATAAATTTTCTACCAGAACACTTTCTCCAGGGAAAAAGAGCCGCCTCCAGTCACTATGCTTTAACTGATGGCTTTTCCTAATAATCCTCATATTTCTGATTAATTACAGAGAACATTGCTATTTATCTTATTTTATTGCGACAGGGTCTCTCTCTGTCACCAAGGCTGGAGTGCAGTGGCATCATCACAGCTCACTGCAGCCTCCAACCCCTGGCCTCAAGCAATCCCCCTGCCTCAGCCTCCCGAGTAGCTGGGAGTACAGACACTTGCCACCAAGCTTGACTAATATGTTTCCCAGGCTGGTCTCGAACTCTTGGCCTTGAGTGATCTTGCTGCCTCAGCCTCCCGGAGTGCTGGGATCAGAGGCGTGAGCCGCTGCGCCAGCCTATTTATCAATTTTAAACTATCCATACCTTCACAGAGGAAAGAGTTTGTTACCTATAAAGACCTGAATGGTTGCAATGACAACAATCACAGGAACTACTATGACAAGCTGTGGTTCAGCAGAGTGGAAAATCCCTGCAGTTGCGTTTTTTAGGATTAAGACAGTAAAACCGCGAGGAAGGACCAAGGTCTGTACGACGGGCAAGGAAGACCAGGGCACGCGCGCGCCGCTGCGGAGCCGGGGGAGAGGCGCGGACTGAGGGTGGAGGCGCAGCGGAAGGAGGGGGGTCCAGCGTGTGCTCCGCGGCCTGGCTCTCCTGCAGCGCGTGTGTGTGCACACGTGTGCACCGCGCAGGAGAAAGCATGTGCGTGAGAGCCGCTGGGCGGGGCAAACTGCTCTGGAATTGTCACAGACTACCCGGCCCCGACAGGAACGGCTCTTCCGTGTGAACGGTTTGGTAACAAAAGAACAAGCAGAAGCCGAGGCAAAGAGGAGACGAGAAGAAAAGCAGCAAGAATAAAAGCGAAGAGAACAGAAGCCGTGGAAAGTGAGAAAACGGGTGGCGATGCTGGCACAAGGCCGCGCCACGGGAAAGCCCGGCTTCTAGAGCGGCTAGGGCCAGGGTCAGGGTCAGGGCTACGCCTAGGGTTAGAGGTAGGACAGAGGCTGAGTACGGGGTGTGGGGGTTGCAGTTGGAGCTCCCAGCCCTCAGGCAAGGCCCGGGACCCAAGGCCACGCGGGGGTTACATACCGATAGTGCAGGCCACGAAGTACACCCGGGAGGACTGCACCTGGATGTCGAACCTGTGGCAGTAGGCCACGAGCAGCCCTGGGGGGAGGAGGGAGAGACTCACCAGGTTGCCAAAGGGCACCCGGTCTGCCCCCAGAGCCTCGGGGCAGGTGTTTCCCTGGGAAGAACCAGGCTGCCTCCGAACGCCTGCCGGGCACACGGCCGTCACTGTCGTTTCACAGGAGGCCACACCACTAGCTTCAGTGGAGCTGGGACGGGGCCACCCGATACTCTGTGGGTGAACTGCGACGGTGAGTGAGCACGAACCCCACAGTGATCCTGGGGGGCGGGGCTGGCAAGGACACACTCTGCCTTCTGCAGCAGGGAGTGCCCCGCAGGCAACAACGCAGCCGTGACTAGGACGGCCAATGAGCTCCCTGGGTCACCCAGATCCTGGGAACCCACCAGGGCCCCCCCACCAAGGCACCAGCCCCTGCCGCCCATCCCTGCCAAATCCCGAGCCCTGGGCTCACCTCTACCCCAGCCTGTCACTCCCAATGGCTGACCTGGGTGGCCCAGGGGCCAGGCTTGGGCTCAGGCAGGCCCTGCCCCACAGGAAGGCTGGCTCAGTGCCCACTGGGGCCCGTCTGGAGCACGGACCCCTGTGCCCCAACAGCCTCGATACCTGGCACCAAAATGTCTCCAAAGCCCAGCAGGGAGAAGGGCCGGTCACACAGGGCCAGAGGCGAGGAGTTCAGCCTGGGCACCTTCAGGACCATGGGCAGCTGCGGAGAAGGAAGGAGACGCCACCTCCAGGACTGGCCGCACCAGGGAATTCCCCGCCCCACGAGGCCGGGGACATACCTTCTCGTGCGTGGCCGAGTCCGAGGGCCCAGTGGCCACCTCCACCATGATGCTGTTCCCGCTCTGCACGACACAGGCGTCAGGGTGGGGAGGGGCTCCGGGTCATCGGCCGTGACACAGCAGTGCCTTCTGGGCAGGGCGGGGAAGGGGGAGAGGGGCAGGGCAGGGCGCCTACCTTGGTCAGGAAGGGCGTGATAAACACGAAGAAGATGTCATAGAGGAAGAGCACCAGTAGCAGCAGCGTGCAGGCCTGGGGAAGCCACGGCCTGAGAGGGGCAGCGACGGCCAGGGACACACCACCCCACTCCCGGGACATGCCCCTGCTGGGGACACACCCCATTCCCAGGACACGCCCCCAATGCACCACCATGGACACGCCCCCGCCGCCCCCCTCATTTTCCTGAGTCCTTTACAAGAAAGTCTGAGCAAAGCGAGTTCGGTACCCAGGGTAATAAGAAGGAAAGTGGTTTGGAAACAACTTCAGGTCAAGGTTCAAGGACAACACGAGTGAAGGGGGGTCCCGTCCAGTGAGCACCGGCTAACGTCTGTTTCCTAAAACCCAAGGGAAGCCCTCTCTGGGACAGCCCGGCCACTGACCCGCTGACCTGCCAACCCCTGCTCAGCCAGGCTGAGCACACGTGGCCCATGAAGGTCAAGCTGCTCCCTGTCACTCCGTCCAGCGAGAAATTAACCCCAGGTGCCATCGATAGGCCCGCGCCCGCAGCCCAGGCCCCGCCACTCACCTTGAACGTGGGGAGGCGGATGGTCTTCAGCATGTAGAGGCAGAAGGCGATGCCCAGGGCGTCCTGCAGAATCCAGGCCCACCTAGAAGGCAATGCCGTGTCACCGCCGGGGCGGGGGCTCTGCGACAACCTGGGACTCTGCACCCCAGCCTCATCCTCCACCAACCAGCCACAACCCTCAGGGTCCCTTGCTCTTCGGCCGCCTCAGCCACCAACTGTCCAAGCCACCATCTCGCCCTGCCCAGAGCAGGACACCGAGGAAGGTAAGGAGGGACCCCGAGATCCCTGGCAGGGGCCCCTTGTCACACAGGGACAGAGCCGGGCTACAGATGCCCCACACCGAGGGGCAGACACAGGGCTGGGGACAGCAGTGGCTTTACAGATCGCAGACCATGGGCAGGGGCGGGCAGGGGGTGCATGTGCCGGAAGGACTGGGCTCCGTCCCAGCTCTCTGTTCAAGTGAAACCCACACCCGCCGTCACACGGAATCTGTGGGTGGGCCGCCAAGCGCCCAGGGGGCAAAACACAAAAAACCTTCCACTAGAGGCCGCGGCCCCCACAGCCTCCCAGCCTCAACCATCACACTCTCTCCTCGCCCCGCTTCCCGCCAGCCAGACCCCCTGGCTGCAGGTTCTACCTGCCACTCGCTGGGCAAGTCACCTCTGGGCTTCCTCGGAGCCTCCGAGCATCAGATGCTTCATTTGAAAGTGGGATAAAAATATCTCCCGGGCAGCGAGGTTGTCGAGAACAAAGAGGCTTTCGAAAGCCAGTTTCAGAAGGCCCGCGCTGCACGCTCCCAGATGCGGCGGAAAACCGCGGGCTGTTCTAATTTCATGCAATACAGAGTTTCCTGGCTCGGATTTAACTGAAAGAGTTCGTTTTCTCTTTGTGTACGAAGGACTCAAAATATTTTCACGTTTTCCTTCTGCCAGTCAAATCTGTTGTGGCTCCGATCGGCGCTGAAGCCAAGAGCATTTGGCTGCCTCGGGAAAGGCTCAGAGAAAGCGCCAGATGGTGCCAGCAACAGCAGCGGAGCCGGGCAGGGACAGGCGGCTCTGTCCTCCTCGGCCACGGCACCAGGCGCACTGCCTCACCGGAGAGGCTGGCCGGACGTACCCACAAGCGGGTGACACGTGGCAAGTTAGTGTTGGGGGAGTGGTGCCCACCCCTCCTCCTGCCACTGCTTGGAGGCCGTGGCAGGCGGGACAGGAGGATCAGGTGTCGCAGAGCCTGGGCCCTGGGCCTTGGGGCCTGCGGTGAGAACGGGGAGAAGACGGTGGCTCTAGGCAGTGTCCCCCAGGTCTGCCCAGGCGTGCTGGAGGGCCAGGCACCGGGCCAGGGGGGTCGAGGCCTCTCCTACCCAGATTCCAATCGGGCTGCATGGCACCCAGACAAACCCGGTGAAACTGGATGCGGGCAGCGGGCGGGGCCTTTCATCCTGCTCAAGGCCGCCCTGAGCGGTCTCCAGGGAGGGGGAGTCGGAGCCTCCTGGAGCATCTGAGGACAGGCGTGGGAGGGGGTGGTGGCCCGCAGCCCAGCAGGGGCCAAGGAGGGGATGGCACTCACTGGTCCTCGTTGCGGAAGATGCCCCACACCACGCTGACGGCCACGCAGAAGAGCGCCAGGAGCAGCATGCGGGCCTGAGGGCGCTTATGGAAGTAGGGCAGGCTGTTGTCGGGCACCCTGGTGGGGGCAGGGCAGTCAGAGAGCTAACCCCCACCACCACCAAGAAGCCCACCCCGCTGCCACTCTGCTGAGGCCCCCAGAGCCACCCCACGACCCGACCCTGCCCTCTCCTTAGACACAACACCCCCGTGTCGCAGAGAAGAGCCCGGCATGGGGCAAGCACGGCGGTCTTGGGCTGGCTGCACCCAGAGTCCCCATCCTCGCAGGTCTCCCCCACCCAGGCCCTGCCTGCTCCGCCTCCTGGCCCGCTCTTCCGGGATGAGGCCAGCTCCCCAGACACTAACCTGGCCCTAACTAAAGACCCTCCAGCAGCCCCCCATGTACCCCACAAGAGCCAGACCAAGCTCCAGGCCTGCAGCCAACTGGGGGTCCCGAGCGGGGCTGGCCCAGAGACCCCTCGAGCCCACAGAGGCCTGAGTCAGCCCGGGACACCCCATCCCCCACATCCTTTACCACACTCGGTACCTGCAGGGGCGGGGGGGGGTCCACTAATAGCTTTGCCAGACAGCCTGTGATGGGGGCGAGGGGACCTGGGAACCTGGCACCCACCCCGACTGTGGGACAGGCAGGGCGAGGCCCTCAGCAGGCAGAGCCGGAGCTTCAGGGGCTGGGAGACAAGAGACTGAAGGTGCAGGGCCCAGGAGAGGCCCAGTGCAGGAGGGCGGGTGGGGACGGGCCGCCTGTGGGGACAGGCTCACCTGCACTTGCAGAACGGCAGCCTCCGCACGAAGGGTGCCAGGCAGCTGTACAGGCCCGTGGCGGACGCCAGGCAGAAGATCCCGATCACGACATAGACTGTGGGTACGTGGCCATGAGGCGGGAGTCCCCCAGCCACCGCCCACTCCCCGCCCCTCAGAGGCCGGGCGCACCCAGGTGGTCGTAGAAGTAGTAGAGCAGCACCAGCATGGAGCAGCACATGACCACGAACACGCAGGTCATGACCGGCGTCACGTCCACCGCCTCGTCCTCCTGCTTGTCCAGCCCGTCGTCCCGCTTGTGCTTCATGTACCTTCTTGGGAGACACCTCGGGGTCACGGGGCGCCTGGGCGGGCACAACCCTGGGGCACGAGCAGAAACCCAGGACCAGGGAGGGATGTGGAGCCGCTGCCCCCAAACGTGCCCAGGGCGGAGGAAGAGACCTCACTGCTGAGGGCCAACGTCCACGGGGACACCCCGAGGGCGGCCACTTGGCCAGGCCAGAGGCTGGCGCAGCCCACGTGCCCTGTGGAAGTGACCGCCGATACAGGTGGCTCGTCAGGACGAGGCGACTGGCAGGAGCCACTACCCCACTGCCAGGCGCCACATTGGCCAAATCACTCCACTCCCCCGACGGTCCCTGGCATCCACCTCAAAGGGGCATCCAAAGCCAGGTGCTGCTCCAAGGACCTCGCAAGGACTAAGATGGCAGCTCGAAGTCTTCCGGGGAAGGGCTGCAGGGAGGGGAGCCCCGACCTGCCCGAGGGCTGAAGCTTCAGTGACGTTTTCGACAGAAGACAGAGGAACGTTCTCTCCCCAAGCCCCACCCACCCCACTCTGACTCCCCACTCTGGCCTGCAGGGCGACCCAGCCCTTGACTGTCATCAGGGCCTCTCCCGCCTCTCTCCGGCTGCCCCACTGCCAGTGTCAGAGCTGCCCGCCCGTCACGCGTGCAAAGCATGTGGACTCACTTCTTCACGTCCCGGCTCCCAGCCCAGTGGCCCCCAATGGCGACGGTGCCCACGGCCATGATGAAGATGACCACCATGTTGTAGTCCAGCACCGGCTCGTTGGGGGCGTACAGTGCCACCCGCACCGCACGGCCGAAACGCTGCCTCGGAGAACACACCAGGGCAGAGTGTCAGGGTTAGGGACCCCGCCCTGCAGGGGCCATGCCCTCACCCGCCGCCCCTCACTGCACTGACTTGGGCAAGGACAGCACCCGGCAGCTGTCCCTAGGCCCCTGCCCACCCTGCCCTGGGGCCCCCGGCCTGAGCGGGCGGCAGAGCCTACCCTGAAGATGTCCAGCATGTCTTTGTAGCTGAGCAGGGCCACAGGAATGCCAATCTCGTCATACTGCGTCTTGTTGCCCCCCGGGGGCACCTGGGCCGAGGACGGAGACCATCACCTCGAGAGCAGTGAGGGAGCCAAACTGCTCACAGCAGCAGACGGGCTCCAAGCCCCTGTCCCCACCAGCCTCCTCTCCGGGGACCCTCACTCGGAGCTCGGGTGCAGGTGGGGTGAGCCCACACGTCCCACCACCGCACCTGACAGCCTCGAGCCTCCAGCAGGACTGCTAAGCAATGAGGCCCCAGGGCACCAAGGCCCGTCCCTGCTTAACCAAAGGGCCTCAGGCTTAAAAAGAGCCACCAGCCCCTTCCCCGGGCGCATGGCTCACTGGCTGCACAGACAGGTCTTGTGAGCTCGCCCCACAGAGGACCTGCGGGTCCCAGGCATGGGCCAGCCTCACTGACACCCAGTGCCCACCAAGCCAGCCTGAGTGTGGCACTCACTGAGGGGTTCCGTCCTGACTGCACAGCCCCGGGGGCAGAAGGCACGCTGCCGTAAGCCCCGCCCCATGCTAGGCCCCTGGGCCAGCTGGGCCAGCACAGCCACAGGCAGGACTGCAAGGGAATCCCCAAGCCCGCTCCTTCCCACCCTAAAACTGCACTTCACAGGAGGCTGTGCACGGGCTCAGTCCCGGCTGCAGCCGCCCTGACAGGGCCCTGACAGGGCTGCAGCCACAGTCGCACTGTGCAGAAGGGAAACAGGCTGGGCTTTGGGCCACCTGGCCGAGACCACAGACGTGATCCCCCAATGCCAGCCCTGGGCTGGGCTAGTCCACAGGCCGGGGCGCTGGGACACCGGGGAGAGGCCAGCTTGGGGGCTGCGCCACCCACTCCTCAGAGTCACCCCAAGCCCACGCTGAGGCCGCTGGAGGGTGGGGTCTCCAGCCGCCCCAGGACTGTTCTAGGACAGACCCCTCCAGGACCATGTATGTGGGTCCACGGTCCCAGCCGCAAACACTGGCCCCGCCATCAGCCCCCAACTCCCCCAGCACCCCCACCACCAGCTCATGGGCTCCTCCGCACGAAGGGCCTACCACAGCAAGAAGCCCCCGGGGCCCTGGTGAGGCGGGCGTGGACCAAGGAGCGCTGGCCCAGTCCCCTGGTCGCGGGGGCTGCCATACCAGCTTCTCCTTGCTGACGACCAGCAGCCCGCGCGCTCCGCTGCCCTGCGCCAGCCTCACTTTCTCGTAGAAGGTACAGTTGCCACGAGCCACCAGCGGGATCTGGTTGCTGAAGCCGTGGGCGGGGAGGTCGGCGGGAGAGCAGAGCAAGGAGGCCGTCCAGTTGCGCAGCTGCAGGAGAGACTGGGGGGGACGCCACTGCTAGAGGAGCCGGAAGGCTCCCTGCAACCACACTGTCAGGGGCAACTGCCTGGGCCACTCACCAGCCCCCCCCCACAATCCCCTGACACCCGGACCCGAGCTCCCCACGTGGTCTCAGCCCACCCCAGACAACAGGCAGCGGGGCCAGGCGGGGCTGCTCTGAGCTGTCTCCCACCAGCAGGCTCTGCGGCTGGACAGCGCTGGGATCATCTGAGAGGGCTCAGGCGGGGTCTGCAGGGCCACTGGGGGCGCTAGAGGCCCAAGGCTCAGTGTCCGTGAGAAAGACTTGGCTCTCCCCGTCTGCCAAGCGGTCCTTAAGCAGGAAGCTCCAGCAGCCCAGGGAGAAGTGCCCACATGTCTGCCCAGCCGGAGGATGAGACGCCCCAGGTCCAGTAGCCCCCGTGGGACAGAGCTGGGCTGCAGCCCACATCTGCCATCCCAATCCTGGGGTCCCATGCTCTGGGTCTACGACCTGCTGCACCCCAGAACCTGCCCGGAAAGCCAGTCGCTGCCCATGCTGCTGCCAGCTGGGTAGCAGGGCTAGCGCCTCTCGAGCGCCCGGGTCAGCGGAGGTGCAGCGGGCTTGGGACGTGTCCGTCCCCCTGCTGGCTTCTCTGTCAGTGCCCATACAATACGTACTGACCGGAGGCCCGTGTCCAGCCTCACAAGGTCCTAACCAGACCAGAGCTTCCTCCGAACATCTGAGATGCCCCTCCCGGTGCAGGGTCCCCAACTGTGGTGGTGTCACCATTCATCCAGCAAGACCAAGGAGGTCCCCACCTTGTGCTGGGGAGGGGCCCCTACCAGGGAGAGGTGAGCACACGCACACACAAGGCGCCTGTGCGTACACACACATGCTCTCACACACAGCATGCATAACAAACACATGTGCACACGCATGCACACGACACCTTTGCATATACATACTCACAGCACACACGAATAAGCATAAACATGTACACATAAGCAAACACAGGTGTACGCACACACACGTGCACTCAGACATACATAAGCACACAGGCACATAAACATACACACCCACGTACACGTAAACATCCACACACGTGCACACAGGAGCTCACAACAGCTCACATGCACATACGCTGCGAAGGGCAGACAGAAGCGGGGAGGTGGCGGCGTGGAGGACATGCCCCTTGGGACCACAGGAGGCCGGGGGAAGTGCGGGCAGAGGGAGCAGTGGCCTCTGAGGTGAGACATCGATCGATGGCATCGACCAGCCGCCTGCAGACGCTCCCCTGCCAGAGCTTCCCGGGGCCCTCTGGGTTGAGGAGTGGCAGCCACACCTCGGAGGGAAGCAGGTGAGGGACGTGGCCTCATCCCCAGCGCCCCACCTGCCCTCTGTCACTCCTCGCAGGACCCCTTGGTCTTTGCCCGTGCTACAAGGGCCCCGGCACAGAGCAGCACGTGCCCGCGCCCAGACACCCCTCTGAACAGCTTTCGTTTACGACCAAGAAAACTGAGGCCGGAGCTCGGGCCCATCTCAGGACCCCCTCAGACCCCAGCAGTCCTGGTGACAAGCGGCTGCCTCTTGCGTCTGACCAGACAGCACCCTGTTTCCTAACTCAGGTCTCCCCCCGCAGCTCCCTGCAAGGTGGGTCCCCAGAGAGCCCTGCAGAGAGCCTGGAGCCCGACGGGCACTCACCGCCTTGCCGAGATCGTGCGGCAGGTGCGCCCACTGCGGGTTGTAGAGGATGCAGTAGTCTTTGCCTTTGGGGCCCCCAGCCTCAGAGATCACGTGCACCATGCCATACTCGCAGGCCACCTGCAGCGACAAGGCGGAGGTCAGAGGAGCCAGGGAGACACCAGGGGCTGGATGGATCATGAGAAACAGGGCCCAGGCGGCCACGCCCACAAGGCGGTTTGGGATGTTTCCCTCCCTTCTATGGGACAGGCAGGGTATGACCGCACACAGTCATGTGGCAAGAACACGGAGGAGCGTGCCTTCCCTGGGGAGACCCGGGCTTGTGACCACAGGGGTATCAGGTCACCTCTTTGTGGCTCCTGAGTTTCCACATCAATAAACTGGGATTGCACCACCGCAGTCCAGGAAGAACCCTCAGAGGGAGGGACAGAGCGAGCCAGCAGATCCGTCCCCAGGCCCTGGGCAGTCACCTGCAGCCAGGGGACAATGGCCTGGACCACAAGGCAAGGCCAGAGGCCTGGACAAGCTTCCAGCAGGCAGGTTTGGAGATGGCCTTTGACCCACAGGCCTGCGTGAAAACCGTCTGTTGATGTCCCAGGGGCCACTGGGGCCCCAGTCACACAACCAGTCCGCCAGGGCACCGGCCGGGGGATCCCCAGGTCAGCACCCCTCAGCTCCCCCCAAAAGAATAGCAGTTAGCAGACAGCCGAAGGGGCCACAGGGCACCCAGGTCCTAAGTGGCTGGGCAGGAGCTGCACCTCCTCCAGGCAGGCTGAGGTCATGCTGATACCAGCAGGACAGACAGCTGTCCCCACTCCTGCTCCCCGCAAGACCCCAGCAGGCAGAGTCCAGCTCCCAGGTGGGACAGGGCAGGCAGGGCTGGCTCACCCCCCACATAGCCCTGCCTCTTGGCTCACATTTTGAAGGAGTGGGGAGAAGGTGCCATCTCAGGGATGCCTGTCACCAGAGGGACTCACAGGGTGGAGGCCCAGGTCTTGGTGGCTCTGCCACACTGAACACCCCAGGCCCGCAGAGGGAAGAGGGGTCCCAGGAGAGAAGCCTTGTGCTGGGGACAGAGGAGGCCTGCGCAGCCCAGCCGCCACCTGCCCACGTACCCTGGGCCCATCGGCCCCTCGGGAGAGCCCAGCCCAGCCCCCGGCACCCATCTGCACACTCCGGGCTCCTGTGGCCCCCTCGGAGAGTCCCTGATCCTCCCCCGTGCTATAAACTTCCTGGGGCAGAGAGAGAACCACACCCCCTGGCATCCCCGGGAACCTGCCACAGAAGCAGTCAAGGAAACAAACCAGCTACCGCCCTGACAACGAGCACCGTGCAGACACTGACCTGCACCTAGTGGCGAGGCCAGTGTTGTGGGGTTCACACCACGACAGCCTGGCCCCCACCGCAAGCCACTGACGTGGCTTTGCCAAGTCAAGGTTTTGGGGAGGGGAGCTCTGACGTGGCCCAGGGCCTGGTGAGAGCCCACAGCGCCCAGTCCCCACAGCCTGGGGCTAAGACCCCACACCCACTGTCTGGCACCACAAGCCCAGGCACCAGTCCGCCCCACCAGCAGCCAAGGCCTGTGGGTCCCCAGCCCCGTGCTCCCGTCACCCAGCACCAGCTCTGCGGCTCTGCTGGCTACATCATCTTGAGTGAGGGCCGGGCCCCAGGACCCACCATCTAATGAGACCACAACCGCGCCATCCTGCCCGGGAGCTGAGGGAAGCAGGTTCACGGGGCTCCGAGCAGGAGCCAGTGAACGGAGCCCGAGTCACCAGAGCTCTCGGGAGGCAAGGGCAGGAGGGTGGCCTGAGGCGGCCCAGAGTCCTCAGAGCATGTGGCTGAAGCGGTTTCCTTCCCCCCAGCTGCCCCTACCCCGGCCCACCTCCCAGGTGGAGGCAGAGCTCAGAGCCCCTTCTTCAAGGCTCTCCCTGCCAGACGGCCCGCCCCTGAGGGCACCCATCAGTCTGGCCCTGGTGCCAGGCCCAGAGCGTGCCCCTTCCAACACGGCCACCCAGTGTTTAGAGCCCCCTGGCGCCTGCTCCAGGAGGGAGTTTATGGGCCATGGCAAGAGCCGGGAATCTACAGTCCAGAGACAGAACCCACCCACCTTCTCTGTTTGCAAATAAAGTTTTATTAGTACATTCCTGGGTGGAGGGTCTCCGGCCCTGGAGCCATCACAGAAGAGTTGAGTAACTGCGACAGAGACCACGTGGCCGGCAAAGCCCAAGACATTTACTGCCTGGCCCTTTCCAGAAAACACTTGCCAAGCCACGTTCCACGGGATCAGGGTTTTCGGTGAAAAGTGTCTTTTGTATAAAGTGGGTATTGACACAACTGCTTCTCTGTAAAAAAGGGCCTTTAAAAGCACAAAAGCACATTCACGGATCTTCCTTCGCACAATTTGCAAAACTGGTTTTCCCTCAAAAATACGCCCATCGGTGCCTTTACCGAAGCCAGGGAACTCTCGCTCTGCATACAGCTTCCTCGCCTGCTGAGTCAAAGGAACTGGGAGAGGTTCTTCCAAACGACACAGTTCTAAGAGGGCTCTGAGTTCTAGTAGGGCCTGCTGGCACCTGGAGGAGCACCGAGGACAGGCCGGAGTGCAGACAGCCACCTCAGAACCGTCCAGTTACAGACCGGACACTTCTCAGTTACAAAGCACATTTGGAAACGTCCAGGGAGACCACGCTTCAGAACTACCACAAACAGTGTTGGACGTCTCTGGGGTTTTAAAACAAACAAGGGAGTCCAGGCTGGGAAGCAGTCTTTTTTCTAAGGAGGTGACAGAATTGGGGCCCAGGAAGCTTGGGAAGAGGTGAGGCTGGGGGAGGGGCACTGACCTTAGCTCTGATCTGCCGAGTGACAGCTCCGTCACTTCACAGGGCCTGTACCAAGGGAGGAGGGGGGTGTCCCTAGGGAGGTCAGACCCCTTGCCAGTGGTCACAAAAGAGTAGCAAGTGAGTTTAGGATTGTTACTAAGCAGGTTCCTGCCCGGAGAAGAGCCAGTCCCACCCTCGGGGGCACAGACTCAAATGTCCACCTCCATGAACCACACTCCCAGGGGACATGGCATCTCAAAGAGTGTGTTTACCACGGACGTTCTGGGAAGGGCAGGCAGGTGCACCCACTCTCCGCAATCCCTGAGACACGTCCTGGGCTCCCCTCGCCCAGGATAAAGTCCAAGCACCCCAGCGCCAGGAGCCATCCACCACCTGCTTAGACCTGCCCAGCCCAGCCTCCAGCCCCAGAGGCCACAGGCTCTGCCACCTCCTTTATCCTCTGCCTGGAGTCACTCCCGCTGCCACCGGCTGGGGCCCCTGCCCCTGCCCCTGCCCCTGCCCTCCAGCTCTGAGGGGGAAACTCCAGCCTCCCTCCAAGACCCACCTGATGGGCGTCCTTTGTGGTGACAGCTTTCTTGGGGGTAAACTCCCCCTTCAAGCATCATTCCACCCTACGTGCCAGCCACAGCCACCCCACACAGATGACCAGCTCTCACGCCTCCCAGCCCCGGCTCCGGTTGCTCCCTTTGTCTCCAACACCCTCCTCTCCTGCCTGCCCTGGCAAACTCCTTCCCACCCTTCAGAACACCCCTCGGTCCCATTGCTTCTGAAAATCATTTCCAGGCAAACTGAGCCCCCTCCAGAGTGTTCTCATAGTTCTTCTTCCATCTCTTGGTTTCCTCTCCTTCAAAATGTCTGGAGAGCTCAAAGTCCCTGTCCTCAGACTGCTCACAGATGGTGAGTCAACAGGGAGGCTCATGCACCAATGAAGGCAGTACAGGGGGCTGGCAAAGGGGCTGGGGAGGGAGAGGGACAGCCCAGCACAGGGCATTCCAGGGTAACAGAAAAGACCATACAGTGAAGTGCCTGCAATGAACTGTATGTCCCAGGCAGCAAAAAAGGGAGGGCAGCTTCCCAAGCAGCCAGGTCACAACAAGACCGCTCTCACCTGGATTCGACAAGCTCTGACACGCTTTGAAAAGGGTCAGCCCTGCTGTGTTGAGAATGGACTAGGGATGTGGGGACAAAAGCAGCCACAGACAGAGGGGCTGGAGAGACCAGAGTCCGAACTCCAGGGAGGAGTCAAGGGCCACATTTGTAGGGCTGCTAGGGGCACCATTCCCTGAGCGGAGGAACCCAGGAAAGAGGGAGAACTTGGAAATAAAAGATGCACTTATGCCTGAATATCTCATGGCTATCTTATGGACTGTCCCCCACTGGAACCCGACACCCTTGATGTTAAAGGACACATAATTGACACAGCGCGCGCTGGTCCTCGACCTCAACACCTTGCGCATCACCTCCTGAAGCCACTCCACATTCTTCTTCTGCAGACGGACAACTGACGCTCAAAGCAAAGAGCTCCCTCGCCCAAGGTCACGGAGTAACCGGAGCGGGGATCCGACCCTGCTCCCAGGCTGGGCTCTCGGCTGCTCGCAGCGGGGGACGCGCCGGATGCCTCCAGGGCCCTTACCGCAACCCCCGGGGTGGGGGCTCGCCAGTTAGCTCCGTGCCATTCCCTCTGAGGAGAGAGGGAGGCTCGGAGGGCAGTGGGCAGCCACCTACCCAAGGCCACAGAGCCCGAGGGGCGTCCCCGGCGGTGGCTGAAGACCCCGAAACGGACAAGCAGAACCCGGGGAGGGAGGGAGCCACAAACTTCAGACTTGGTCCGGGGGGAGTGGCGCTGCAGCGGGGTAGGGTTTCCGAGACGATGAAGGGACAGGAGCCAGGGACGCGCCCGCAAGGTCACTGCCGGGCCTCGGTTGCGCGAGGACCGCGGATCCCCGAAGCTGGGCCCCCCAAGCCGGGCCGGGCGGGGTCCTGAGCAGGGCCAGGGGGCCGAGGACCCGGGGAGACTCAGGCTGCGGGACCGGCGCGGCCGGTACAGCGCTCACCTGGGCCGCGAGAAGCAGAAAGGCTGCCGCGAGCCGCGCCAGCACTGCTGCCGCCACCACCGCCATGTCCGCTGGTCCCCGCCGCAGCCGTCGGCAAATGTTTCCCAACAACGCCCCGGGGCACTGCCCCCGCGCATGCGCTGCGCATGCGCGCGGGCAAGGGTCAAAGGACGTGGGGGTTGCGCCTGCGCAGAGTGGCGCGGCGCGGCAAGATGGCGGTGAGCGCGCGGCGGCGGGGCCGGGAGCCGGGTGGCGTGGGGCCGGGCCGCCGCTGCCCGCCTCACGCGCTCTGCTTTCCCCGCAGGACAAGGAGAAGAAGAAGAAGGAGAGCATCTTGGACCTGTCCAAGTACATTGACAAGACGATCCGCGTGAAGTTCCAGGGAGGCCGCGAAGGTGAGCTCCCTGCCGCCGGCGCTTTCTCTTAACAACTTGGAATAAATAACTGAGGCAGCAGCGATTGACGGGCATGGATGCCGAGACGCTGCTTTAAGTCGGGCTACCTCGCGCAGTCTCCCTAATAACGCCGGAGATGAGAACTGGTAGCCCATTTTGCAGGTGGGGAAACTGAGGCACGGAATGGAGAACAAACGTAACCCACAGTCACTGTGGGGCAGCTGGGGTTAGGGTTCACGGCTTTGCGTCCAATGAGGTCCTGTCCAGCTTTTCTGCCCAGGAGCAGCCCAAGCTCCTCATTGATCTCCTGGCTTATGTTTCTTCTTCCCGTAAGCCAATCCCCTCTCTGCATTGTGGATATTTGGGGCTGGATCATTCTCTGGGGTGGGGCCGTCCTGGGCACCGCAGGGTGCTGAGCAGCGTCCCTGGCTACCACCCACCCCATGCCAGGAGTGCCTCCAAGCTGTGACAACCAAAACTGTCGCTGGGGGCAGAACTACACCTGTTGGGAACCACAGCCATATGAACCTGTTAAAAACAAGTGGAATCTCCTTGCTCCCTGCTGAAACCTTCCAGGGCTCCCCATTTTTCAAGGGTAAAGTCCAAACCTCCTGAACCTCCCAGTAAGGCATCAAGTTCTTGACTGCCACAGGCTACAAAGGCACACGCTTCCCTTTGCCTGCCATGCTCTCGCCAGGTGAACTCCCAGAGTCACTTGTCTGTTCAGTTCCAGGTACTTGCTCTGGGAAGCCTTCCTCACTCCTCCATCCCAGGTCGAGCCCCTTTTTGTCTTACCCTCCTGGTAGCACTTGTCACAGTTTGCAATTTCATTAACATGATGCCTAACTCTGCATCTGACTCTTCCATAGACTCTAGTGAGGAGAGCGTGAGCTCCCAGAGGGCAGGAACCAGGTTGGTGCTGCTTGTACACGTGGGTAGTGCAGTCTGGGGGTGCAAACAGCAGCTGGACAGCCTGACCCTGGGGTTCTAGCTCTGGACAGCTCCGGTTAGACCCCCAGCTTTTCCGCTTTTTGGGCAAGTAGCTCCTCCCTCTGAGCCTCTGTTTCCTCATTTGTCAAATGAGGCTGGTCACTCCACCTGCTTCACCAGGTGGTGGTGAGAGTTAAAGGGTTAAAGGCGCGTAATGTAACTGAGGCATAGTACTATCCTAGCGCATAGTAAGCCCTTGATCAACATCTCACTTACTCAGCAGCCTCTTTGAACTTCGATTTCTTTTTGCCATAAGATGGGGATCCAAAGCCCTTCCTCCCTGAGACGCGGACAGTTGGGTAGCATCAGAGTCGTTGATGGTGCCCAAAAATCCAGGTACCTGGCATGAGGATTTGAATCTGAACAAATGTTCAATCTATGCCATGCCGGCTCCAGGACAGATGAATGAGATGCCACCCTTGCCTTTCAAGGTGCCTTCGTTTGTTTTCTACCCTGTGTAGCAAATTACCTCCAGTTTAGCTGCTCAAACAACACAGATCTCGCAGATGTGTGGGTCAGGAGCCTGGGTTCCTCAAACTCGAGGTCTCTCATGACATCATAATAGAGGGGTGTCTCTGGGGCCCATCGTGTCAGGCTCAGCATCCTCCACACCCCCTGGCTGTTGGCAGAACTCAGTTCCTTGCGGGTGTAGGACTAGGGTCCCCATTTTCTGGCTGGTGTTGGCTGGGACACTCCCAGCTCCTGAGGGCTGCCTGCCTCCGGACTCTCCACAGCAGGGCAGTTTGCTCCTGCAGTGGCGTAGGTAGAGCAAGCATGTGTCGGATTCAGATGATTCAGGCCAGAGGGAGAATCTCTTCTCTCAGAGAGTGTTTTGTCCTTGAAGGGCCCACCTGGTTAGGTCAGGCTCACCCAGGATTGCCCCTCCCTTTAGATTAGCTCCAAGCCAAGCTGATGCAGGCACCTTAACTCCAGGTACAAAGCTTCTTCATCTTTGTCACGTAACCTAAGCATGGGGGTGACATCACATCCAAGTCACAGGTCCCTTCCCGCACTCAGGGAAGAGGAGTGTATGCCCAGCTCACCAGGGTGGAGGGACGTTGCCTGCCTGCCTGGGGCTCACGTCCCCTTGAGGAGGGCAGACTCATGGCACTGCACACCTGGCCAGTGTCCAGTGCCTGCATGCATGTTGTGCCTGGCTCTCCCCGCCATCCCATGAGACCATGACCTTCGGTTTGCAGGGGAGGGACCCGAGCACAGAGAGAGGAAGCCACAGGGCCAGGGGCTCAAACACAGGCAGCTGGGTGGAAATCCGCAAGGTCAGGCAGGCTTTCTCTGGAAAGGGCCAGACGGTGAACATTTTCAGCTTTGCAGCCCAGATGGTCTCTTTGACAACTGCTCAGCTCTGCCGTTGCAGCGGGAAAGCGGCCACAAACAATACCTAACTGGATGAGTGTGGCTGTGTGCCAATAAAACTTTATTTACAAAATCTGACAATGGAGCAGATTTGGCCTGAGGGACATCGTTTACAGACCCCAGCACACACACCACAGCATGGGGCTGCCCTCAGCTTGGGCGGTACAGCCACAGATGGGTGCCTGCTCCCTGCCTTTCAGGGAGACCGACAGATGGAGTAATGACCCAGGGTACCACTTCCGTGGGGTGAGCCAGGAGGGGGGCCTGAAAGCGGAGAGGAGTTGGGACGGCTGGGGGCAGATGGTGGCAGGAAGAGGCGTCGGTGAGCACAGAGGTGGGAACCGCCCCCTCAGGGAGCCGCGGCTGAGATGAGCCTGCAGAGGAGGCGCAGGGGGTTCCAGGCAGAGACGTGTGCAGTCCTGCTGAGCCACCCGGCTCACCCTTTCCCAGGGGCAGTCACCAGACACCGCGGAGCAAGAAGATGACAGAGATCAGGCACCGCGTTGTGCAGCCGGCCCCTCTATCTAATTCCAGAACATTCCATCATCCCCAAAAGAAACCCTGTCCCATCAGCAGTCACTCCCCTTCCATCCCCAGCCCCTGGCAACTACGAGGCCACATCCTGTCTCTGGATCTGCCTGTTCTGGACATTTCATATAAATGGAGTCTCACACTGTCCTTCTGTGTCTGGCGTCTCTCACTGAGCACAATGTCCTCAAGGTCCCTCCGCACTGTGGCCTGCGTCAGAGCCTCGTTCCTTTTCGTGGCTGAGTGATACCCCAGTGTGTGGCCGGACCCCTGCCTACTGCGGTGCTGCTCGTGAGCTGAGAATGGTTTTTACAGTTTTTAAACAGTTGAGAAAGAATCAAAAGAAGCCTAGCTCATGACGTGAAAATGACGTGAAATTCACATTTCAGCACCCATAAAGAAAGGTTCCCCGCCGCCGCCAGGCCTGTGTGTTTGCGTGTTGTCTGCAGCTGCTTCCACGCCAGGCAGAGCTGATCGGCTGTGACCGGCCCCCTGCGGCCCGCACGGTCTTAACACATCCGCCATCCATCGGTGCTGAGCAGAAAGTGTTTGCGGACGTGCTGTGGCAGGGACAGCCTGGAGGCAGCTGTCACCATCAGGGCCCTCTGTCTCCCTTCCCTGGAGAGGTTGCGGCCCCCTGCGTCATGCTGGGCAACGCTGAGCGCGCGCCTGTCCCCAGGACAAATCTCATGCCTTCCTGTTTCTCTCCCCCCCTGTGGTTTCTCCAAGCCAGTGGAATCCTGAAAGGCTTCGACCCGCTCCTCAACCTCGTGCTTGACGGGACCATCGAGTACATGCGAGGTGAGCTGGGCCTCTTTTTTCATCTTTCTCAAACCCACAACATCCGCCTGAGTCGAGGGCACGAAGCCTTGCGGATTAGACAGCCGGCAGGTGAGTTTGGTCTCCGCCGGTCGACAGAGCTGGAAAGACCATCGTCGCCTTAGGGACCTGAGAGATGTGGGAGTATTTGGCCGGTCACTCCCTGGTTCCCAGACACCTGTAGCTGCTTACCACGCGCCTGCCTGGTTCCAGAGAGCACTCGTTGGCCATGAGACGTGGATGTGCTTTGGGCTCCTCTGTGTTCACACAGGGTCCCGTTCCCCCTCCCCGGGGAGCCCTCCCACATGTCCCCTGCTCTCTCCTCCCCGTGAGGCCCCCAAGTCCCTGCTGGCCAGGCAGCCCCCAGGAGCCAGCAAGCCCCTGGCTCAGTCCACCTGAGGCATGTGGGGGTCTTGCCCCTCGGGCCCAACAGCAAGGCCGGACAAGATCCACTCTCGTGCAAAGGTAAACAGCTCAACCCACCACAGGTGCCTCAGGAGTGGGGGCTGCGCCTCTGCCCTTTGCTGTGGAGCCTGTTTGATCTGTGGTTCCGTCCCCAGAACAACCCGGTCACACAGGCGCTAGAACCATCCTCGCGGGCAGGCAGGGGGAGGGTGGGTCCAGAGCAGTTGTTGGCCCTGAGAGACCCCGTAGTGGCAGAGCCAAATCTCACGCTGGGTCTCTGACTTCCAAAGCTGGGCACCGGGTTCTCCCCTCCCCCAACACCACGGGACGGCGGGAATGAAGAGTTTTGATTTCCTGAGACCTGGAGCACCCGCTCACTTCCCTGGGTGTCCTCTCGCTGCACCCAGGAACCAGGGGCCCAGGCTGCTCTGTCCCAGCTGCCCGGCCGATGGCTGGTCCCAGGCCGTTAGCACCGAGAGCAGGGTAACCGCTGTCCTCCGGGCCGCCTGTTGCGGAGTTTGTGGAGCAGGACAGCTGCGGCCGCTGTTTCTGGACCCCGCCGGGCCCGACAGGACCTGAGAGAAAGGCCGCGTGTTGGGCTCAGGGAGGGGAGGTGGGGGGCCTGTCAGGCTGAGCTTGTCCCTGCTGAAGCCCTGGGTCTCGGCCAGCACCTGTGGGATGCAGGTGGGGACATTATCTCAAAGCCCTGCCGCCGGGGTGTCTGGGGCCTCCTCAGCCTCTGTCTGCCCCTCCAGACCCCGACGACCAGTACAAGCTGACGGAGGACACGCGGCAGCTGGGCCTGGTGGTGTGCAGGGGCACGTCCGTGGTGCTCATCTGCCCGCAGGACGGCATGGAGGCCATCCCCAACCCCTTCATCCAGCAGCAAGACGCCTAGCGGGCGGCGACCACTCAGCTGCCGCCCCCACAGCACCCACCGCCGCTGGAACGGAAGGTCTTTCCTTTTTGTATAGGTCGAACTTTTGTTTTCTTAATAAAATCGCAAACCTCAAGCGCCCAGCCCGGGGTCTAGCTGCTTCAGCCTTGACCTTCCAGGGAAACCCGGGGCCCCAGATCCGCTTTCGGCCCCTGGAGTTTGCTGAACGCTGGCCGTGGTCCCAGCGGGGCGCAGACAGCGATTCCAAGGTGAGCAAAGCGGCCCCGGGCCGGGGGACGGGGACAGGCGAGTCGGGAGCCTCACTCCTCTGAGGGGCTTCACGGAGCCCCCAGCCTGGACCCAGCAGCCCGAACCTGCTGAGGCCCGTCTCCTCAGCGCCTCCTCCACCTACGACCCGAACCCGTCACCTGAAGCCCAGGTCCCTGCCCCGTAAAGCGTGTCCTGGCTGGGCAGACAGACCAGCCCTGGCACTGGCTTCTCGGCCCGGCTCCGGTGGTCCTGCCGGGCTCGGCCCCCTCCCCGCGTCACAACCCTCTCGCCCTCAGCCCCGCCACCCACCCGACGGCCTCCCACCCCGCACCAGGACCCCACGTGCTCTCCAGGTGACCGGCTCAGGTCACTGAACACCTCTAAATGCCTTTCCTGGCAGGTGGGTCGTTCCCTCCATCCTTGTCCTTGTCCGGACTCTGTCCCCACACTGAGAGCAGGGTGTGTCTGCCTGGTCCTCGCTCAGGAGGCTGAGGGTGACAGGACCAGGGCGTCCCTGGTCACCCATCCAGGGGCCGGGAGTGAGCTCAAGAGGGTCCTCCCGGCAGGAGCACTGACCCCTAACTCCCAGCCGCAGGCGCAGGAGCTGCCTCAGGACAGGGGTGCTCAGCCTGGGGCTGGGAGGGCTCCCCTCGCCCACCCCCGTCCCTTGTTGCCTGCAAAGAAACCAGAACCAGCCAGGTTCCGGACTTACGGCGGGATCTGCGACACGGCTTTGCCGTGGCCCAGGCAGCATTAGCCCCCGAAGCTGGGGAGTTCGTTGTCAGTTCTGCAGCCAAGCCCGGCCCTGCCCCACCCACTGCTGCCTACCAGAGGCCTCCACAGGCCCCAGCCTGAGCCTGGATCCCAGGTGGGGGCGGGGCAAAGGCAGAAACTGGGAGTCCAAGATGCCCAGAGGCCTGACCCTGGCTGGGAGGAAGCCCCAAGGACCTAGAGGCTAATGAGGCCTCATTAGAGCCCCCAGGGCAAGCAGGGGTGAAGGATGAGGAAGTCTGGCCCCCCCAGAGGACAAGGAAGCAAGGCTCATCCTGGCACCCCTGCCCCACCATTGCACCCCTCAAAACAGCCCCACTCCCCAGACTGCGCTCTGCCCACTCGCCTCCCAGTGAGTGGGTTAAGGCAAAAACCACCCTCTGTGGCCACAGAGTCCTGGACTCAAATCTCTTCCCACCTCTTGCTGTGTGACTTAGGGTAAGTGTCCCAACCTCTCTGAAATCCAACTCCGTCTCTCTTAGGTTTAGATAAGGCATTGAGTATCCGCTCTGTGGCCAGTGCTAAGTTTTGTGTTCAGGCCCAAAGACAGAGTGCCGTGGGGGCCCAGGAGAGGGACTTGATCTGACCTCGAGAATATGGCAGAAGCGACATTGTGGGAATTTAGAGCCCAGTTCACAAAGGGAGGGGCCTTGTGGCTTCTACGTGTGCTCTCTTGGAATGCTGCCCTGCGGTGGCTGTGTGACTCAGGAAGCCAGAGCGGCCTGCTCGGTGAAGATGCTGCCATGGAGACCAGCTGGCCTGGGGGCCTCAGACTTCGTGGCCCAGGCGACCTGCAAGTGTCTGAGGCCTCATGGGGTAGCCCAGGCGAGACCAGCCTGGGAACTGCAGCTGACCTACAGCACCATGAGAAGTAACAAGCTGCTGTTTTGTGCCTCTGTGTCTAGGCTTTGGGGGTGTTTGTTACACAGCCATAGGAACAGAAACCTGCTGTGGCAGATCGCAGGGTGAAAATGCAAGTTTAACACAATAATACAGATGGGATACCACCACTTAGTTATGGTAACCGTTTTTAAAAAGTTCTTATATCTCTGTACGTTTAAATGCCGAGTGCAGTGACTCACACCTGTAATCCTAGCACTTTGGGAGGCCAAGGCAGGAGGATGGCTTGACTCCAAGAGTCCGAGACCAGCCTGGGCAACATAGCAAGACCCCATCTCTACTAAAAATAGAAAAATTAGCTGGTCATGGTAGGGCCTGTAGTCCCAGCTACTCAGGGGGCTGAGGCAGGAGGATCACTTGAGCCCAGGAGTTGGAGGCTGCTGTGAGCTATGATGACACCACTGCACTCCAGCCTGGGCAACAGAGCAAGATCCTGTCTCTACAAAAGAGAAAAAAAGAAGTCTGGAACGATCCGTGCTAACCTGGGATATAGATGGTGGTTGAAGGGGGATTGCAGCCTGCTCATAAGGTTTGAATATTTTAAAGGGAGAAATTTAATATTTAATGTCTTACATCTAGTATCACTTTGAAAATTGAATATTTTACAAAGAGTCAGAGAAGACAAGGGCAGAAACAGGGAGACGCAGAGAGATTTGGAGACAAGGAGAGGCAGAAACAGAGGCGGCGACATAGAGAAGGTAGCGGGAGAGAAATGAGGACACCTCGGACACTGGATCCCCCAGGCCCCCACCCTCACCCTGGTATAAATCCCCGGCCCCAGCGGTCCTGCCGCCGCCCGCCATGCCATCCGCACGCGGCCCGCTGACCCCAGCTGGGATCCCGCCGTTTGAACTCCCTGCCCACGGCCAGCGCAGGTCCCGGGTCACGCCGCGGGGGCTGCAGCCCTCGGACCAGGCGCCTGCCCTGCTGCACGTGCCCCTGGTCACCACGGCCCTCGGCTTCCGGGTGCTGGCAGAGAGGCCTCGGGTCTTGTCCTCAGAGGCCCCCCTCTGGGAGGCATCGCCAGGAGCCCCGCCAGACAGGGCAGGTCCCAGCTCAACCCCAGACCCGCTGGGGACCTCCAGGACACCACCTCACGGCAGGTTCCGGAGGCTTCTGAAGGTGGACAAGATCTTGACCTTGCTGACAGTCAGCCCTGCGCCTCCCCAAGGTGCACGGGGGTCTCCCCGATCCCCTCCGGTAGGTACTGGCATTATCTGAGGCCCAGAGAGGTTAAGCAGCTAGCAGAGAGTCACACAGCCAGGATTCCAACCAGGCAGGGGGCTGCCTGCAGCACCATCTTCCCCCACCCGCACACCCTTCCTCTGCCCTCGGCCCAGGCTCCTAACCTCATGGATGCTGAAACCCAGCCCCTAAGTGTATGACAGGGACAAAGAGGGGAGGGAACGAACCCACCCTGGCCTCTGGAGCTGAGAGACAGTGGCCACCCCGGCCTCACCCTCGGTCCCCTCCTCCCTCCAGCTGCCAAGGGGAGGCCTCCCTGCAGCCCCAGAGCGCCCACCTGCGGACCCAGACGACGCTGTGTAGCGAGTGACCTCCTGCCATGGAGGACCCTGCAGCTCAGCCACTGGGGAATGAGTTTCAGGGCTCGGTTTCCTGCCTGGACTCAGACAAGCACGTGGGTGTTAAAGGAAGAAGGTTTGTAAGTGGGGGTCTGTGCGAGTGGGGAGGAGTCCTAAGACTGGGGGACTGCCCAGGGTGACAGAGCCGGGACACCCCTGGGATCCAGCCACGCTGCCCAGGCTGGAGCCCCCGGGGCTCTCGCCACGTCCCTCCCAGCTCCACACCGCCCAGAGCCCCTCCGCCTCTGGGGGTCCCACTGCCCCGCCTGCCTGTCAGACCAGGAGCTTCCTGGGGGCGGCCTGGGTCTGTCGCGCAGGAAGCGTTTGCCTCGAATGGGTGACTGGGGCCCTTCTGCACTTTCTGCCTCCCTTCAGGCCCGGGGCCAGCGACCCTCTACCCACCAGCTGCCCGCTCTGTCCCGGCTGGCCGCGCTCACAGAGCCAGCAGGTGTCAGGATTCACCCAGGGATAAGGACCCCGCGGCCACCAGGCTTCCCGTAAGCTCAGCCAGCAAAATGCGCAGGAGCAAGTCTGGGGACGGGACAGGCGGGTGGCAGGCAGAGGGCCAGGAAGCAGAGCCTGAGACACAGGTGGCCTGGGGTCCCAATCTTGTTGCTGGAAAACGAGTCTGAGTTTCTTGCCTCTCCCTGCCCCTGGCCCTGTGCCAGCACCAGAGAGAAACCCCAAAACTGACATGCCCCAAGCCACTGCTCCCCCATCCACCGGGTGCCTCCCAGCTTACTGCATCAGAGAAAACAGCCCTATATTCAGGCCCCAAACCTTGGGATATCCCTCCCCACCAGCCCTGACACCCCCTCCATCAGCAAGTGCCGAAAACTCCACCTTCAGAATGACCCCGCACCGATCTCTCCAAACACTTTCAGAGACCAGAGGAGGAGGGAACATTTCCCAACTCGTGTTACGAGCCCTGCGTAACCAAACACTGACAAAGACGTTACAGAAAAAGAAAATCACCAGCCAACATCCCTCATGAATATAGATGCAAAAATCCTTAATAAAATGTAATGACTTTTATGCAGCAGACTATAAAAAGCCAGATACGTTGTGACCACCAGGTGGGGTTTATCCCAGGAACGCAAGGTTGGTTTGATACCCAAAACCCAATGCGATTAGCTACAATCACAGCATAAAGGAAGAAAACCTCAGGAGATGGGGAAAATTCAACAGCCACTTAGACAAAAATTCAACCCCCATTCAGATTAAAAACTTGGGGCCCGGTGCAGTGGCTCACGCCTGTAATCCTAACACTTTGGGAAGCAGAGGCGGGAGGATCGCTTGAGGCCAGGAATTCGAGACCAGCCTGGGCAACATAGCGAGACCCCATCTCTACAAAAAATACAAAATATTAGCTGGGCGTGGTGGCACACACCTGTGGTCCCAGCTACTCGGGAGGCTGAAGCAGGAGGATTGCTTGAGCCCAGGAGTTTGAGGTTGCTGTGGGCTAGGCTGACGCCAGGGCACTCCAGCGTGAGTGACAGAGTGAGACGTAATCTCAAAAAAGAAAAAAAAGTTAATATAAACAAGAGGTTCTTTCAGAATCCAACGGAGGCTATTAATTTCTATATATATTAGAGGAGAGATTTTTTTTTTA